ATGAAATATTTACCCTTTGTAACAAATAAAATCTATTTTTTTAAATAATAATAATATTTGTGGTCCTATTTAGGAGAAAAAATCAACAAAATGTTTAACATTGAAAATCTTATTCTCTCTACTAACAACAATTTGGACATATTTATTTTGTTTGTTGGTTTCGGTCACTAAATGTAATAGTCAGTTAGTACCATGTTATCATCTCATATTCGCTAGAATATACAAGAATTTACATTCAACTAGTCTAAGTGTAGAGTAGAGCGATAATTTCTCTCTTCTAAGGATTACCGAGCACAGTAAGCATTAATACATCAACATAATATCTTTGCAACACATTTAGTCACATATCAACAAGCCTCTTGATAAGGGATAGGTAGAAAATCCATTTGGATGAGAAAACATTTAAACAATCTAAACACCTGTTTTTCTTTCAACCCTTGTCTTTCATCCAAGCGAAATGGCAAATGTTACACAGTTTTTGCATGACAAACCTATTCTGGGATAACAAGTGCAAACTTTTTTGGTAAGGAAATGTTAAAAAATAATAATGGTGCCCCACTAGCAGATTGGTTAGCAGGTTTTTGGGAAAACTGGCCTTGTTGTGAGTGTTTGTGTGTTATTGTCCGTGTGTGCCTTATGATGGGCTGGCGTCCCATCCGGGGTGTGTCCTGCCTTGTATTCTGTGTGATGCTGTATTGGATAAAGTGGTTAGAAAATGGATGGATATTAAAATATTTTTTTTCCTCTTGAAAATTTTTATTTTTAATAATTTATCTTTTTAATAATTCTGTCTAAAAGAATGAATCACCATGTGCTGTGATTAACGGTAATACTTATTCTCTCTTTTATGTGATTATAACATGCCAGGGTTTCACATCTGTGCAACATGCTGAGGATGACAAAGTATTTGAATAAATTGATGATTTAATAAGTTCTTTATTGAATGGGTTTATCTCACTGATAATAATTGCTGTTCAAGCAAACCATCAAGACAAGAGGAGTCAGAATATCTAATATAGCTTCAGCTGTTGGTTGTCAGGCCTGGAAAAGAATAATGAAACCACTGCAATTAACAAGATCTGCTGTAACAAGCACTTTTTTTACCTGAAACAAATAGTCATTTATCTGCTGTAACCTGAGGAAAGCAGTTTTTAAAATATGTGGGGGAAAAATGGTAATTAACTGGAAATTAGTTTTGATATTCATGGCCAAGGTTAGTATGCCCTTTTCCGATCAAGGAGTGCAGACCTTTTTGTTTAAAAAGAAATAAAGAAACACTTTTGAAGTGTGATTTCACATGTTTAATATGCATAGGCTCCTTTTATTGCCTTTTATTTTATGACAGTCTCCACAGTGAAATTTCATAGGAATCTGAATTACTAGGTTTTATGGGTTTCAGGACATTGTATATTTAGAATTAGGTCCTGGATGTCATGTGCATTCAAGCGTATTTTGACTAATTTTTAAAGTTAACATTTTCTTGTGTACTGATACTCCTAAACCTTAAGTGAATCAGATTTTTATGTATAGGGACACGTCATTCTCTGATGAACAGTAAGTAGTCTTCTTTTTACAATTTTTTTGTTAAAAACTTTCTGCATACTGCATTAGCTATTTTCTGCAGCAGAATTATTTTTAAAGCAGTGCATGTTGTGCTCACTTTTAGAAACTGAAGTCAAGTTTTTAATTCTTTGGTACTGCACAGGACTGAAGAGTGCCAAACAGGACTGCTTAATCTCTTTTGCACACACCATGGTTGGCATCTGTCAGCTTAATAAATTTTGTAATCCATCATTGCCTGTCAGGCATCCAGTTATCCTTATGAGCCTTCCAACTCTGTCCTTGAAATGATCGCCGGTTTTCTGAAGGAGTTTGAGGGTCATTTTAATCAGGATTCCCTTGACTTTAAAATAGTGCAGAAGGTTAGACTTCACAAATTAACTTGACATTTGACCTAACCTGCATTTTACCTCTGTCCATCCTAAAATGTTTTCTTTCCCTGTTATTAAGAAAAATGCAAACCTTAAGCCTGAGTGTTTAATTCATGATACAGTAAAATAAGAAGTTTAATTCTATGTTTACCACAAAAATGAGATGTAATGCTTTAATATGCTAGTTCAATTTGCTGCTGAAAGCGAGAACAGTGCAATATTATGCTGGTTGTTTTCACAAGTTTAATTATCTGTGTTTTGCTGAGTTTGATTGATTAAATGATGTACATTATCTTGAGCACAGTTTAGAGTTTCAACACATATGATCTGCTTTGATTGGTTTTATGAGGTTTTCATGGAATGTGACAGAGAAAGTAAAGTGTATTATGACCACCATATATCAGTCTATGAACGGAAACCTTTCTCCCCCTTAAAATTACGTACTTGGGTTCATTCAGAAGTCCTCATTTAAATTTAATGGTATTTCATTTCATCTATGTAAGCAGTATAGTCAGAGATGGGTCTGTGGTGATTGATCATCATTTAAGGAATGGAAGGAAGAGAAAGGCTGTGGTCAGATCCTCCAGTCACATAATTTATTAACACAAAAAATACTAAAGTGCTGTTATGTACATTGAATTGATGGAATGTCTAGCATTACCCACCTGAAGTGCTTATTTAATTTACTGGCACCACTGAGCCGAAGGTTACCTTCTAAAATGCAATGTTTTTTTAAAGATGTTTTCTGCACCATAAACTTTCCATTTTTGTTTATTTGTTTAGCAATTCTATACAGAGAGCTGTCACTGATTGTCAAGTACAGTAGACTATTTACTGTAATAAAAGGAAAAATCATCACAATTCAGGAGCAAAATCTAAAGTACTCTACTTCGTAATGGTATTAAGTACAGGTTTGCAGTCGTGCCTCATACAGTGCCTTTTAGTTTTTGACTACACCAGTTCCATTTATTTTTTTAAGCTTCTATTCCTGTATCCATTAAACAATGGAAATGGAATCTGCCCTAGTTCTCAGGAGAATCTACAGTTCTTCAAATCTATACAGTGCTGTTTCAGCCTTAGGGACCTTGGTTTTCACTTCTTGAGGGAAAGGACATCTGAAATTAATAATCACACATTTTCCTCTCAGAAATGAAAGAGGAAAATGTGTTTGCATGTCATCGTCTATCTTAACAGTCCAACATACTTTTCCGGCTTCACTTACAGCATTTTTTTTACCAGAAAACCAAGATCTGCAGATCAATTGTGGCTATTCCTTAGCATGTTCATTTTCCCACAATAGACATCTCAAACTCTCTCTGTATTATTCATTCATTTGATCATTTTCCTGCTGCGTACTACATCTGCTGGATACAGATGTCAAAATGCAAACTTTATACTGAAGACAAAAAATATTGTACATCTCTGATATGTACTAAGCTATAAGGGACAATTAAGTGACAGTAGTTTACTACTGGAGAATTAAGGGAATTTAAGACTTTTGTGCTGGATATAACTAATAAAGCACATTTAATATATACACTTTAGTATATATGCCAATGTTACACCTACCATTAGTTATGAGGCAGAGGATCTAAAAGGACAGGCTATACAGGAAAGGTAATGGCAGAGAGCTCTGCAGAGTAAAATGTAATTCTCTTTTCCTTTTATCCAAATGTTAACATAACATCATAAACATTCCAAATTTGGAGCATCCTGCAAACTCTTTGACTTCTTTCAAAAATGTTGGCAGGGTGTGAAACTGTAAATCTGTACTGTGTCCACACTGCTTGAGACCTGATTTATCCTTGAGATACAGTGCCCTTCCTTAGTCCAAGGATAACAGACTTGATGCAGTCAAGACTTGAGCTATTACTATTATTATTTCTAAAACAGTACAACAGCTAAAAAAAAAGTGACATTCTATACTTTTGTATCATACTCATCTTTTCATCTCAAATCCAAATTGCTTGAGTATACATGAAAAATAGTAATTTTGACTTCAGTGTCCCAATGCTTTATTGAGGGCATGAGGCTCTGTTTTCTTCCAAAAACAATATTGATCAACAGAATGGATGAACACAGAAACACAATGGATTATGCAAACAAATGGGGAAACAATCAACCAAATAATTATTGCCAGTAATTTAGTTATATAAACCATCGTTTGTATTCATGTGGAGCCTGCAACTTGACCTTCGTCTGAAGTAAAATTATCTTAATTTCTGCATTTGTCATGCAGGCCCAGCTAGATGAAAGAAGGCTAATGTACTGTATTCCGAGACATGCCTCTGGAAACCTCGCACATTTGCATGCTCATGCTAAAGCTCCATTTTCTTTCTTACCTTTTCACAGCTGCCCTCATGTAAGCAGCAGAGACAACTCCTCTGACTTGAAATAGGAAACTTGCATTGGTTGAAATACATAAAGATATATGTATTGCTAATGGAAAAACGACTTAAATTTATTCAACTAGACTTAATCAAAAAATCAAAAACAGCATTTTTGATCCGAGAGGTCAGTGGTGAGGAGACAAACAAGAAAAACACATTTCCGAGAATTAACAACAAACAGTTTGCAAGATGCTTTCTGAGGTGAAGCAAATCCAGGGTTTTCTGAGGATAACGCGCTCTCCTAGCATGTTTATTTGTATCAATTGTTTCTTTTTCAAAAGCTACTGTTTAAAAAGCTTAAGGTGTTGGTTAAGCATTTTCAATCATTCTTTTAGTGGCACATATCTTTCTTTTTTTTTCTTGTATAAAGTTGTTACACTGAAAACTTTTATTAAGGCAGCTCCATCCATCTAAACAGCAAGGATGGTATGGCTTTGCAAGCTTGTATTGCAGAACGGACAGTTTCAGTTGAACTAAGTGACTAGAGATCTTACAGTAGATTTATTTCTGTTTTACAGTATACAGAGATAGCCTGACAGCTTGGCTCTCATGGTTTGTCATTGCTGATTTGCAATGCCTATTGCTTATGAAGAAAACGCTTAAAAGCAAGATTTGTGATTTGAGAGGTCAGTGGTGAATCCATGTTTATTCCTCTTTATTTCCCTCCCCTGACTGGCAGGAACGGCTGGTGGTGGAAAATGAGGACTGGCTGGTGCTCGTCCCCTACTGGGCAACATGGCCCTTCCAGACTCTGCTGCTTCCTCGCAGGCACGTGCTGCGCTTGAGCGACCTGAGTGACAAGGAGCAAGAGAGTAAGCAACAGTTAGCTGTAGCCATCGCTGAATGAAACTTGTACTATATTCTCCCGAGCCTGCTATTGTCTTGCTTTTTTTCAGGGGGAACGGGGGGAGAGTGGTGTGGGGAGTTGGATTTATACCTTCTTAATAATTACCTTTTGCAATTTCTTCTATCCTGCCCTCATGCCCCAGCCCAGGCCTGCAGTAATTAAACTGGAGTTCTAGGGAATCTAACAACCTCTTGCCTGGAGACCCACTGTATGAACTTCTGAGGATTTTCTTAAGACCATAAGAAACATTACAAATGGTTTGGTAGATAGAAGCTTTTTGATCCAAGAATCTTGCCTAGCTCTTTCCATTAAGGAAGCCAAAGTATGGGCGTAAACCACAACGCCAAAGTTTCCACTTATGTCCCCTGGTTCGTGGTTTACTGTGTCAACATTGTCAATGTCTTTGAAGATTTTGAATACTTGTATTAGTGTATTAGTTTTCTTACTTGCAGTAATACGGCAAAAGTTCCATGTGTGTAACAGTACTGTACAAGTAATGCTATTTTTTCTTTTTTCCCGCCTTTCTTCAGACCCTTTACATTTTTTATTTTATATTAGCTGGATAGATGTCAGTGTTTAAACGATTTGCATTTCATGAACCCTCTCCTTCTGTCATTGATTTATCTTTGTTTACATCGATATTCATATTTTATTGATGTGCAACTGAAACTGAGCAGACGAAGAAATACATAACACTATTATATCTACAAATCATATTCAGTCTTTCCCTATACAGAAAATGTCTGTTGATACTGAGATTAAAATCAATGAGGTACTTGCAGAATATGTAAGCTTATGTATGTATTTTCAGTTTAAACCACTAGATGTACTTAAAAGCTGACAGTTACAAAGCCTTGGTTACAGTACTCAGGAGTTGGTGAGGATTCTTCATAAAATCTTATACCCCCCCCCCGCAAAAAAAAAAGTATTTAAAACCTTGATATTAAAAACAGATTATCTTAGATGATCTTATTTTAGATAATTATCTTACAGTATATATACACTTTTGCAGTTAGGATTTTTTTTTAATTTAAACTAATTACTGTACTGTATATAAATGTTTCTAATATAGGGTTTACTGTGAAGCTTTGCAAGTGTCTTTTATATCCCTCAGCTACCAGGAAACAGATTCAGGGTGTTGCCTTCCTGATAATTAACTTGCTGTTATTTGATTGGAAATTATAAAGACGTCTTTTCTTTTTTTAAAAAGAGATCTTTTGCACGAGGAGCAAATTTCATGTCCTCTTTTCTCATTGTCTTACTTCGGTGATCTGTGCTTTAGTTTTGCCCTTAGGATACACATCCTTTCTCTAGAGAACAGTAGAGGGTGTAGAATGGTTGACTAACTACATTGCCATGAAGCCTGATCCTTTTAGATCTCAGAAGTTAAGAATGTCTGGGTATTATTGGGATTTGGATGGGGAGAAATCTAAGGAAAATGAAGTTGCTGACCAGCAGATTTTATTCTTTCTTTTGGATTAGAATTTCCAAACCAATGCTCAGGTGAGGTGACAAGGGGACACTATGCTGCCGTAGATGCCGACATGATAAACTGAGGTTGTGATTTATTGTGATCAATAAAGGTGCCATGGCAATATTTGAAAGAGTAAGGGTAGTAACTACAGTGTTCTGGCTAAACTCCAATTCAGGCTTGCTTAAAGTTTCCTGTCTAGCTTAACTAGTCAAGCAATTCTTCATGTTTCTACCTTACATGTTGTGTATGAAGCTGCTACAGTAGGTGAGTCCTCTCCACTCTATAAAGATTCTCAGGTTCCTTTCAGATGAAAAGTGCAATTTAAATGTGAAGTATTACTGTGATTACTCTGAAAAGAAGGTGGTGTTGAAGCTGTGAATCTTGGCTTTCAGAGAGCCTAGTGATGAGCTGTGCTGACAAGGAACTAACACTTCAGAACCAACAGTAGGTGCAACTTATGAAAGTGATAGCAGATGCGTTTGAGATAGGACTGGGATAACACAGCTGAAGATAAGTAGAAAACACTGATGAGGTGAACCAAACCAATCTGCACTTAAAAAACTAGGAATAAGAAAGTTTTCAGGGCTCTGGCCACATGGGTAGGGTAGGGGTTAAAAATATCTGGACATTTGGAAGATGGCTTGTGTTCTTCAATCCCCGTTTAGGAAGGGGAAAGTAATGACATCAGCGAACATAAAGAAAACCCATAGCCTCAGTACCCCAGTCCACTGCATGCAATGAGAAAATGTGTGCAGCTAAGCAAAAAGCCTTTGCTAGTATGCATACTGACTAGACAAATGATGGGAAGGTTTGAATTGCAGGAATACCACTACATGGGTAATGGTCTGAATATAGTAATGTACAGTGTAATGCATAATATAGTTAATTTTTTATCGTAGAGCTCCATGTAAATAAAATATGAGAAACCTAGGCACTTGGCTCTTTTGTTATTGCTGTGCTGAAATGTGGTGAAATTGCAAGAGCAAATGCACATCTTAGTTACAAAAGTATGAAATTTATATGGATCCCTAAAACAAAGGCTCTGATGCTCTGACATCTGTGTATTTCAGTCATTTCAGTGAACTGCAATAAAAAGAACAAAGATTTTTTTATATCTAAGGAAACAGAATGATCATACTTTCTCCAGTTATCCAGTTAATGTTGTGCGTCATCTCCTGGTTGTATTAGTTTAACCTTACACTTGAAATTATATCAGTCAATTCTTTTTATTTTAGATGTATTTTCATAATCTTTTCGATTAGAATTTCTACTGACCCACTCCCCATCTATGAGCTCTAGCTGTGTTGGTCATCAAAAATGCCTGAAATAGAAGATAAATATTCAGCTCATGAATTGGGCTCCTTCATCTCTGTAGTCATCAGTGTCTTCCCCATGACAACTGCAATCCAGAATGTAAATAAATGTCAGAGAAATTAGAGACTCGGCCATTCAGGGATAGCTCCTGTCAGCAGTGTTGTCAGTAAGCTCTGAGCAGTACGTTCTTTGAAAGCAATTAAGCAGTATGGCTTCCCAATTTACTGCAATTCTGCAAGCTGTATTTGCTAAACAATCAGATTTCTCTTTTAGCAAAGCATTTGCTTTCTAGTGAGATCACTCTACAATGGCGGTTCAATTTATGTCTGAGTTGACTCGCCAAGTTCAATCTGACAATAAAAATATTCATTGAAAAATACCTCAAACATTATCACACATCATCCCACTTGTATTGCAAAGAGAATTGAGTTGCTACTTGCCCTGTTTATTCATATATTGTGTATCAGTTGAAATATTTTATTGGTGACATATACATTATATATAACACCGGTCCACTGCAGGGCACGTACACACATATGGGGTTAATTTAAAGACACCACTTAACATAACTTGTCTCTGGAATGTGAGAGGAAACCAGAGCATGCAGAGAAATGCACACAGGCAATGGACGAACATGCAAACTCAAACCCAGGACCCAAAAGCTGTGAGGCAGGAGTGCTAATGGCAACAACACTCTGCGGCCAATAAAAAAAAAAATAATTAATCAAAATGAAGCCGTGTTAAACTAAGAGCTTATTAAAAGGTTCTTTGTTTCACTGTGACAGATTTAAAGTAGTGGATTTTTGCAGTATTGTAGCTTACTATTTGCTTTCTTTAAAATGTTTGTTTTGTGTGGGTTGGCTGTAAAGCTGTGGTTGAATTGATGTCTTTAAAAACACATTTTATATGGATATATGATGTCTTTTTGCTGTTGTTATTGAAGCTTCTAGACTAGACTTCTAGACTCTCTCCCCTCTACACATATTAGTCTTTAATTCCACAAGGCCCTGTTCTGAGCATTCAGGTCCTTATATTCACAAAACCAAAGTGTTTTCCCGGTTAGAACATTCCTCCTCAACCAAGGGGCCCAGTATTTTTTACTTATTTTAAAAGAGTATTTGGCTTCATTTATTCTTAGATGGAGTACGATTCATTGTCATTAAAAACCCATATAGAAGTTAAGACAGCATTCTTACAGTTTGTCTTTATATTTCTTTTTGCTATACACAGAAGCTCCTGTGCCAGCACTTAAAAGGTTCAGATTCCACTGTCAAGCAAACAAGATTGTCAGCTTTCTTTCAGAAGGAGTTGTCTTTAGGGATAGTGGAGAAGTTTCTAAACACTCTGGGTTTGTCTTGGCCCCTGAAAGACTGGACTACATAAATTTTGTGTATCTTTCCATGTCCCACCAAATTTGGAAACCAAACAGGCATCTCTTTGAGTTCCCTTATTTCTTCCTTTTTGTGCTTTTTCCATTCATATACAGTACAGTGCTTTAAATGATTTAAGACTGGAACTCATTCCTTTCTCATTTCAGTCATTTGCTTTTGAATTCTTTCAATGTGAAGGTTGCCTTTAATTGAAAGCCAGCAACAAAAAAGCCTTAATTTTAAAGTCTCCATAAGTTAAAATAGTGGTTAAACAAGGTGATTTAAACACTGAGTGTACTTTTCAAATGTTAAAATCCATGTTGGGGAAATGCGGGTTTTGAGGTTAAGTCTATTTTTCATGCCTAGAGCATTGAAGAACATGTTAATTTGAAAGAAGTGACTAGGAGATTGCTTTGCATTTACAATCAACTCTGGCCAATTGGTTATTTAGACTGTTGCAGACATTAAGATTTACACTCTTCATTCCACTAATGCTATCACTCATTAATTCAGTGTCATAAGAATGTTTCCTAAACTGCACTCGTACCTGAATGATAACTCTTCTTAGTTTATTGCAGATATGAGTGTTTGCATGTTTTGACTTAATTCAGTTTATTTACTAGTCATGTCCACTTTCCAGACTGTATGCATTTTTAATAAACAAAATCATTGTTTTTGTGCTGGTCAAACCCTTATGCTGGAGGGCAATTTATGTACACATCAGATGGATAGCCACAGTCTGTTCTTGGCACAGAATCTCTATGTGGTTTTCCTGGAAAGACGTTGAACTGGGATTATGTTTTGCACAGGGTTTAGTTGTTGACCATAGTGAGATTCACATACATTGATCGAGCCTCGCCACATATTTGTGATACTCCGAATTTGTTGGGACGGGGCACTAGATAGTGTCAACTAACAAACTACTGTATAGCTTCTGTAATATATCATTATTAGCCGAGAAGGACTTCCTATGTTTATGCCAGTTGCTGTCTTTCTAAATGCGTGGATTATTTCAATGCATAAAATGTTTATGTAGTTAAAGAAGATGTGGGCTATTCTCAACCAATGTGAAACACAAAAAAAACCTGGTTCATATGGTTCCTGGATATTCATTATTAAATATACTATACCAGTAACTGGATGCAGAGCTACAGGGTAGAATAGCTGACTTCATCTACACTGTGCGTATGCATTAGTTAGACAATATATTACCCTGGGACATTTTACACCAGCATGAGTATGTTTCTAGAGCAAGTACTGTGTTCCTTTCACATTCAGGAGTGTACTGTATCTACTTAGGTTGTGTGTCAAAAATCCTGGGATTGTGACATTTGTGTGTGTGCGATCTTGAGTTTTATGGCATGATCGTTGGTAAGTATTTCTTGGCTGTGAATTTAGGAGGTGCAGTCCTAACTGTCATTGCAAAGTATTTACATTTTGACCATACGCTGTCCTTGAAAGGCATTTTCAGTTACATGTGGTATCAGCGGTAAATGTGAAATCATTTAATTGTTGTGGTGCAGGACAAAAATGTGCAACCTTATTTTCAGAAATAGATTGGCTTGAAGTTGCTTATTTTAATTTTGTTAGATTAGATGGGCAATTATTTTCCATCACAGTCGAAAAGGAGAGATGGAGAAGTGCCTTACAATGATAATGAAAGCCTTCTGGAAACATCAAAGTAGATTATGTTAGTCTGGATTGATGTGATGCTAAACTAATTTTATACATTTTTTTGTTCTTCCTAGGTCTGGCTTCAATTATGAAAAGGCTCCTGACTAAATATGACAATCTGTTTGAGATATCTTTCCCCTACTCAATGGGATGGCATGGTAAGAGACATATGCAGTGTCAAGATTACAAGAAAAGTGTTTGCGTGGAAGATCAAAGTGGCACTAATAAAGAAGCCTATATTCTTATTCATAAAATGGAATGGCAGGGAATAGCATATGCAAAGTGCCTCTTTATGCCTCAGTCAAGTGTCCTAAAGTAACCCTTGAGGACACAAGACCAGTAAAAATGAGGAGCACAGTTCTTTAATTGAAACTCAACTCACATGCAGTTTAATTAAGGTTAAGGTAGCAGTTCAGTGAGACTTAATGCCCTCTACTGCAATAAGTCCATTTTTATTGTTAGATATTTTTTTTTATTTTCAGTGTGTCAATTTCAGATTGGCATGTTTTATGTTTAGCACTTGAGTATACTGGTGTTAAAAATAGGTTATTTCTAGCTAGGCTTCTATTTGTTTTTAGAATTGCAGAGATAGTATAGCTTTCTCCGTGAAAGCACAAATGGATTTCATTGCTGAACTGTTCTTAAAAATATGTAGAATTGTTTAAGTGTTTAGTTACTTAAGAACTCCTGGCAACTTCAGAAGGTCAAAAGATTTTGTCATGATTATAAAATATTTGTATAAATTTGATAGTTTTTAGAATTTGTGCAATTTACTTAGATTTAAATGCTTTACAATGTTTTATGAGATATTTATAGTATGTAAAAAATGTTTTTAAGAAGGTTCCAAGGAAATATTACAAAGGATCATAATTACTTTAGTAAAATATTGATTACTGGTAAGTTTCAATTCATGGTGATGTATTTATATTTTCATGAATTACATTTTCAGAATGAATGACTACCAAAGAGGCCTTGCACAATTACTCTCATTCAGACCTTTATTGTTCATCTTTTGCTCTGCACCATCATATAGTGATTGTATTCTGTCTGGAGCATAAGAACATAAGAACAATTATAAATGAGCAGGCTATCTAGCTCATTTATCTCGGTTTGGCTGCTAGTAGCTAATTGATCTGAGGTTTCCATCCAGCTGCCTCTTGAAAGATGTCAGGATATTGTCTTTGACATCTTGGCTGGACAGTTCATTCCAGAACCTCCACAACTCCATTGTGTTAAGAATTGCTTCCTGTTTCAGTTTTAAATGCACTTCCAACTGTGTCCTATTTATTGCATCTTGATTCTGAAGTTGTCTGTTGGTTGACTTTGCGAGTGCCTTTTAGTGTATGACCACTTGATTCCTTCTTTCACTGTCTGTGGGATGTGACTAAACTGAGACTTCTGCAAGAAGACATTGACACTGTAATTCATGTTTCTTGTGACACTGATCAGTCAGCTCAGTCAGCCCACCTGGCAGTTCTCAGACTAAATTGATTGAAGTTAATTTAATCCTCACTTTACAGAATACTAGGCCACATTAAATGGATTGTGTATTTCCTCAGGCCACATATACTGTACCTTTACAGTGTATACCTAGGAAAAATGTGTCTAAGAATCAAATAGATTGCTCCTCTAATTGAACAGCCTTGTTAATTCCTTATATACTTAGCTTTCGCCTGACATGTTTTTTAATTAAGAATCCTTTTCAACAGACCTTATTCTCACAAAGTGGTTCATAGGCTAGTATGTCAGTGATGGAGTACTTTTGCTCCATTACACTGTCCTTAAAACATCCTTGGATTTGTTTTTAGGAAATGGGCCCCTTAGTGCTAGACTGAAACATGATGAACTCGTTGGTCTTTGTAGAACCCTTTACGGTATTGACTTTAGCCTAAAGTGTTTTTAGAAATATGTAAAGACAAGCATTGGCTGCCTTTATTTCCATTCATTTGGAGGATTGGGATGATTTGGCCCGATATATTTTACATTCACTTATTGACAAATTAATTCCATTTAGAAGTGAGTATCTGGGTCCATTGCAACATTGATCAATACAACCCCCCCCCCCAAAAAAAAAGATTATTTTTATAGAAATGTTTATGTATTCTTCCTTGCTCAGTAAAATATTATTAATTGTTTAGCCAATAACAAAGAGTTGAAAGCTATCTTGCCTGTGCTCTGTCACCTTTGTTTAGGTGCTCTTTTACAAGCTTTTGTGCAAATAAACGTCTTGCATGCTGGCCCAATTTATCTCATTCCTGTGCTTCATAGTACTATTTTATCTGGCATCAATGTCTGTCTTTCATCATGTCACTAAAATATTCTGTGACACTATAGACTTCCTAAAAATAATTCGGGAAGGACCTATGTTTTTATTTATCTGTACACTTCACCAACTAAGCCATCTAGTACAGTTAATAAAAATTGACATTTCTGATTAAGGATCCTAATGAAACTTTGAAAAATTGTTGGCTCACTGAAGGAGGAAATTGGAAAGTGACTCTTGGGGGGCTGTTCTCCTGGAAGAATGGCCTGATATTGATAACTTGATGTTGAAAGGCAAAATACTGTATTATTTGTTCTCTAGATGCTGCCACTGTGATACATTCAAGGTCGTACCGCTCTTTAGATTATAACCATTCGGGTTGTACTTCAATTAAAAATCAGACCTCCTTTGATTACATTGCGCTGCTTGTGAGTCACATTCTTCATGAATTTTCAGGAGCTTTTTCCTTAGCAAAAGAAATGCTTCATGACTTTCGCAGTTACACAGTATTTCTCTTTAAATTATGCTTTGGAATAAGCAATAATTGCTGGGTAGCACTCTGAGCTAGAATATAACACCCACATGCCATTTTAGAGTCTGAGCTGAAGTCTGACAAGCTGTAACATTTCCTATATTATACCATCATAGTGGGGATGATGATTAGACACAAGACAGGGTTAGAATATTGTTTCTGTTTGATTCAATAAAACTTCACAAGGCACTCCCACTTTCCTCTCTCACTTCCTTCTTCTCTGCGTTGATAACTGATAGTTTGTGTCATTGTGATCCATACGTGTTTTCACAACCAGTCCACTTTCACACTTATGCTTATGGGCTGTGCTTTGTTCCTGGAAGTCAGATATCATCCACTTGCCAGTCTAGCATTTTCATTTGTAGTCATGGTTTACAGTCAGTAGTCTTTTCCTGTTTCTACCATTCAGGAGTACAAGTCAACAATCATATCATTTCAGTAGCAATGATTTTGTTATATTAGATGCAGGTTTTTTAACCAGTCCTGTTTTGCTTGGTTTTTTTAAGGGGTTAGTAAAGAAAATAGTGCATTGTGTTTAATGTGCCTGGGCTGATTAAGAAGCAAATACAAGTGTGACCTTTTGTGAGGCAGGTAAAATATACATTTCAATGATTTTATTATATACTGCTTTATAACATCATTTACTGGGCAGTGCCACTGCATTAGTGTAGCATTATTAAGCAGTAGTTGTCTTAAAAACCTTTTACTTGTACGTAATAAATATCCTCATCACATGCAGTGGACAGCACAGTAAATATAAAGCAACTCCTTCATACATATATACATATTATATTTGTATTTTTACTGTTGTGCTAATGTTTTAGACATTTTTCTGCACTTTTCAGTCAATATTTTTCCTCCTTTATTACAGAAACACAATACTCTGGCAATCCTCTACTGAGCTTTTAGCCATTATGTTTTAAACAGTAAATCATGCAAGATATGCATTTTGTAGCACAAAACATTGCTTTTTAGCTTCATGAATGTATAGAGAGAAACAAATAATGTTGACAACAAACAACAGCTGACAATGAGGAAATTAGATTTGATCGGTAAATGTGATGGATTATCTGCTAAAACACTCCATATCAGTTGCTCATGTACAGTATAGGTTGCTTTCAATTGAATTTATTAAATGACAAGCTTTGTTTTTGTTCTCCCACACTAAGTTGTATTAATAACAGTCAAAGCTATTATTATAGTAGACAACACTAGTGAAGGCTTTGAGTAAATTGCTCATTACATACAGTACTTTTGTTCTAACTTGACTATGTCTACAATGCAAAAATATAAAAATATATAAAGCAAAAATACATAACATCAAAATGGTTTTTCATGAATTTAGGAATAAATAAGCTGTTACTAAGATATTCTGTGTCTCGCTCATACCCTAGAGCAAGAATATTGCTCAATATGTTTGCTTTATTGTTTCTTATAGTATACGGTATACTTATGCCAGCAACATTAAGAAATCACCTGGATAGCTTTAATGGAATGGAAATAAATTTTATGTGTTTCGAAAAGATTTCAACCTGAGGGGAATTTACTACCGAAAATGCTGAGAGGTCTGAAAAAATACTAATCAGAGCCCAGAAAAAAAGCTAGACTTGGGTGTTCTTTCATTCTTTTGTTTTTTAAGAAAATTCTTTGAAAATACAGTAGCAAAATTTAGAAGAGGTTCCTGTACCAATGTTGTACAGACCCTCTAAAAAAGTGTGGCTCTGTTTGAGCATGACATTAGACTCTGAAAGTGTAGTTTAGATAATATTTTTCATATTTATATTTATATGTATATTTATACTTTTATTGTCTTTTTGTCTTTTTTAACTTGGTATGTTGTATTGCTCTGGTAATTATTCTATGCTCTTTCCAGAAATATTTAAATATACTTTAAATATTTCTGCACTTCAATTGTTTTTTGGAGCAGCCAGGCTGAGGTATTTCTAGACTGTGAAATACAGTAGTCATTCTTCAATTATATCACATGGCTGGTGGTGATAATACTTTATGCTTTTGTAATAAGTGGAACAAAATGCTGTGATTAAGGTTTGTAGTTTTTTCTTCTTTATTCTTTTCTTTTTTAAAGAAATCTCAATAAAAACATCATCCTGGTCTTCCAGCATGAAAAGAAATCAATGACAGTTTAAAATTTTCATTTGATAGGAGCAGCTGCTTCATTGACTTACTAGCCTGCTTTTTGACATTATATAATGGAACACAACGAAGCTTAACAAGAACATAGGAGGATTTATGAGAAGAAATGAAAAATCTTTTCTGTCCCGTTAAATACCTCCAGACCATTAATTCCTGCTCACTATACAATGCTATTTAATTCTGGGCCCTAGCTCTGAAGTAAGTGGAGT